AGCAGTGTGGGGTGTCCTCCTGAGGACAGGCTGCAGACAGGAGAGCTGCTCCTGGCCTTCCTGGGTCCCTGGCACCTTTCCTCTCCATGTGCCTCAGTTTCCCTGCCTGCAGTTGTGGGAGCTGGGAAAGGGCCACAGGGTGAGGGAGGTGCTGTCGGCATGAAGGGGCTCTAGCTACCGAGTCAACCCAGGCTGGCCCCCTGGAGACCCAGGAGGAGGACTCAGCTAGTGTCAGGGACTCAGGACCTCTCCTGCCACACCAGAAAGACCCAGGCTTCCTCGGAGGAGTCTGTCCCGGCCCTGGCCACCTCCCACCCTTCAGGGCAAGGGCACCAGGCCCACCCTAATGGCTGGCTCCCTACCTGAGCCCTAGGGCCACCCTGAAGAAAAGGTCCTCGTCCATGCCATCTCTTTCTCCCTGTTGTCCCCTCCCCTGTTGTCTCCCTCACCCCCATCATGTCCTCCTCCCACAGATGCCCGCACAGTGCCCCACTCACCCCTCAGGCCTCGCCCCACTGCCCTGGCAACGGCTGCCCAGCCCCTGCCCCCGCCCCCGCCAGGCCTCAGCCCTGCGCAGCCTTGTCCCTGTTTCTCCAGCACTTCCCGCCTCGCCTCCATGTCTTGTTTCCTGCTGGCCTCTCCGCTCCATCATCCACGCTGGGACATCAGGGACTGTGTGTTCTCTCCACAGTGTCCCTGCGCCTGGCACAAAGCTCGCCCTCTGGGACTGTTTTTGAATGAATGAATGAATGAATGAATGAATGAATAGGATGCAGTGATTCAGTGAAGATCATGCATACCTGGGCTCTAACCCTGTGTACACAAGGCTGCCTCTGTGGTCCTGGGCGGCCTTCACCTCTGTGAGCCTCAGTCTCCTCCTGTGAAATGGGTTCTTCACAGGGTCTGGGGAGAGGAGAGGGGCCTGAGGACTGAAATGGGTGGGGCTTCTCTGGATGGGCTGAAGCACAGAGGTTGGGGAGCCCAGTCAGAGCCCACCTGGGGCACCAGACCGGCCCTCCCACGAACCTGCCTGTAGTAACCTTGGTGGGTAGGGGCCCTGTGGCCCTGCTGACCTCCTGCAGGGACATCTGCTCCCTGTGCCAGGCCACCCTCCCCCAGAACAGGGCCCCCACCTCTCCTTCCATGCAGCTTCATGAGAAGCACCGCGAGGTTTGGGAACAGCCTCAGATAAAGTTGTCACAGCGGATGCGGTGGAGATAGGGTTTCCGATGGTTATCAGCGGGCAGAGAATCCAGACACTGACCTCTTTGTTGGGAAACAAGGAGCATTCTCAGACGCACCCAGAGAATTTAAAGTGGCCGCCCGTTATCCCGGGGCTGGGTGGGGCCGGCCTGGAGCCAGGAGGGAGGGCCCGGGGCAACCCTGAGGGGCTGTAGGCAGGTCAGGCAGGGCTTCTCGCTTACTCCTGACAGGGCCTGTCCAGCGAACTGGACCCAGAATGGGCACCGCGGCAGGGGGGGCAACCAGGGAGGGAGAGCAGCTGGTGGTTCACATGACTCTGCTGGTTTTGGCAGAAGGGCCGGGGCAGGGCAGGGGGTTATGAATAGCCCCTCGCAAGCTTGGACCCCACAGCCCACAGGCAGGGCAGCCAGGAAGGGGGCTTGCCTTGGCCCACCGCCTTCACCACAAGAGAAAAGGGCTTGTGTTCCCTGGGCTGCTCAGAACTGGGGAGAAAATAGTAGAGAAAAAAGAAAGAAAATAACATGGGGCAGCCCCATGTTGCGTCAGCCCCTCCACAGTGGAAGCAGAGATTGAAACCTGCCCCTCTTGGGATGTCCTCAGCCCCTAGGGCTCGACATGCTCCTGGGGTCCGAGAGGTGGCCTTCAGGCTGCAGCCAGCAGACATGGGGGGCTGGCTTAGGGCGGCTGGGGGGCAGGGTAGGGGCAGGCTGGGCAAGGCCATGCTACACTCCCCAGGAACCAGGGTACGGTGGCCCGAGCACCCCTCAGGGCCAAGTGCAGGCATGTGCTGCCATTCAGACAGTGGTGCCCCACCCTTTTCCAGCCTTCCCATTTAAGGGGGAGGGGCCAGCCCACCCCAGTGTTAAGGGCTGAGAGAACATGAGGGTGAATGTCAGTCATAAAGCCCCGGATCTCCTGACCCACTTCTGGAAATCAGGTGTGGGGTGTAGCACAAGGCCCTCTTTAAGCCCCTGTATCCCCTCCTCCCGCACCTGCCCTCACAGACAGGGGCGGTCACCTAGCCCAGCCAGGGGAACCACCAAGCCCAGGAGCTCAGTACCCGTCAAGACACAGGGATGGGCTGCTCTGGGCAGAAGGCACAGAGCTGGCCGGGGACATGGCGCCACTGCCTTCTGTTGGCTTAGGATGTACACGGAAAATTAGGGGTTCTGCAGCGTCAGCAAAGCTGAGCGCAGGGGTTTTTATCATGCTGTGAACACACGCTCCCGAGAGTGATAAGCATTAAACCGACCAGGAGGCTGTCAGTCTCAGTTTGAGGGTTTAGAAATATTGGGACGAATAATTAGATTTCATATCGTTACCGCAGCACCCATCGGAGGATCAGGCAGATTAATTTTTTTCACCCTCCTCTGCTCATTAATATTCATTAGAGACTCAGGAGGCCCAGCCTCTGCCTTGCTACTGGCCCTGTTGGTTTGCCCGCCACTGCACCGGCCACCCTCAACCAGTTCTGCTTTGCCCCAGGCCTGACCCACCACGGTGGCCTCAGCACACCTCCCCGCCAGCAGGGACCCCCAGCCGGCGTCCAGCTCCCACCCCCTGCTCTGCAGTGTCACCATCACCAGGTGTCTATTCAGACCAGAGCGCCACCTGCCCCAAAGCAGGCTCCTTGGTAGAGATGCCCACAGCTGACATTTACTAACTGCTGGCCTGGTGCCCCAGTGGACACCAGCCTCTTGGGCCCATAGGCACGGCCCAGCCTGGCATGTCATGCCGAACAAAGGGAATGCAAATGCAAGGGTGTTGGTGGCCGGGGCTTGCCAAGTGCTGGTCACACACCGGACAGGCACTGTTCCAAAGGAGGGCTTCACACAGATTGCTTCTTCCCAATGTCCTAGGAGAAACTGAGTCACAGACCCAAGGATGAGATGTGCCCTGCAAGCAGGTGGCAGGACGAGAATGGGTCCAGAGTGAACACGCAGGCTCGGGCCACGGCTCCGATCAGGAGGGGCATCACCTGTTTGCAGAGAGGTGCCAAGGCCCGGGGAGGGCTGCCGCGCGGCAGTGGGATGGGCGGGGCTCTCCGTGACCCACTGGCCAGCCACGCTCTGCTCACCCAGTCCACGACTGAGCCACATAGCTGCTTCGATGAGCAGGGTGCCCCGACATGGTTGGGTTTTACCAGGAATGCCCGACACACTGGCCTGATCCCCGAGTCTGCCACAGTATGGGAACAAGGTGCCGAGATGGCCAAACGGGCTGCCGGAGGGCAATGCCTTGCCCAAGGTCACAGTGGGGGAGGTCAAGCTTGGACAGGATCCTAATGCCCAGCTCTGGAGCCCCTGTGGTCCTCACAGCCAAAGCCCAGGAGAGTGCAAGGGGCTCGGACCCGGCGGGAGGTGCCGGGACCTCTCAGAGGACACCCCACACACCGGCCCCGGCCCTGGCCGTCCCACCATGGCAGCATCCCCAGCAACTGCCGTGGGCAGCCTGCGGGTGCACGAAACCACCTCCTTGTAGGTTGTAGCATTTCCAGGTGAGAGCAAGTGACACTGGTTTTTCAGTTCAAGGTCCTGATATACCAAGTTTCTAAGTAAAAGACATTTATTTACATAAAACAAAGCATACCCAAATGTTGACATGTGCCATACCTTTCCATACGGGACCGAGCTGCTGAGCTTAGGGAACTCCAAGCAGAGGAGCACAAATCCAGTGCTGGTGCTGAGGCGCAAAGGGAAGTGGTGGTCACCTCAGCCTTGGGCAAAAAGGGCCACAGTCCTGCCCTGCCCACCTGTGAGCCGTGGATCTGCACCACAGCCGGAAGTATAAACAGGAGCTGTGGCCACAGCTCGGGCCTGCAGGCAGCCCATCCCTAGCCTACCATCTCCAGGCACCAGGCCGTGCTGGGACAGAGGACAGGTGTTTGCTCTGCAGGGCTCCGGAAATCAGGCCACCCCCCTCCAAGGCCCAGAAGACAGCAGCTCCAAGGGCCTAACCAGAGCACTCTTTCCTTCCGGGTGCTGCGATGGCCAACTCCCAGACCCAGCTGTGAGAGGGAGAGAGCGCTGCTGGGCGAGGCGCTGGTGCCAGCTGCCCCTCCCCTGCCTCCCTCCCTCCTCACACCTCAGTTTCATCACCTGTGAGATGCAAGGATACTGCCTGCTCTCCAGGCTGGCCCAAGGCCAGGTGGGTGAGGGAATAGTCTCTGGGAGCCACAAGGAAGGGACCAGGTACTGAACCAGCCCCAGCATGGGAACATGGTGCTGCCTGGTGACCTCAGTAGCTGCTGGGCCCAGGCAGGTGTCCTTTGAATGTCTACCATGTTCTGGTCCCAGGCTGGACTAAACAAAAGTGGGCCTGCCCTGCCCTGCAATGGAGGAGGGGAGCCCCACTGTCTGGGAGGACCTGGAAGTCCCTCTTGTCAGGACATGCCATCTCCTCAGGCCTGAGCTCTGCCTCAGCCCCCAGAGCCCCTGCGGGCCCGCATGGGAGGAGCCTGTGCCCCATGCAGCCCCCTGGGCACCCTTGGAACTCACCATAGCACCCAGCGGCCTGCTAAGATTGGGGGGTGGGGGGCATGCAGTAAGGAGATGTCAGGTCTGGACATGAATCCCCTCTGCCATTGGCTGGCTGTGTGACCTTGGGTTCTGTTGCTGATCTCTCTGGGCCTCAGTTCTCAGGAGAACGCAGCACTGGACCCCTTAAGTGTCGCCAGCACAACATTTGACAAAGAGTAGGCCCAGAGCCTGCCACCCCACCAGATGGCCTCCCCGCAGGGACCCCAGCTGGGTGCTCCCCCGCTGTGTCCTTGCTGACCCCTCCTTTCCGACCCACAGAGCCCCACCCTGACGCTGCTGCTGGAGGACGAGGCCTGCTGGCTGAGGACACTGCCCCGGGCCCTGACGGAGGCTGAGGCCAACGTGGAGATCCACAGGAAGGGTTGGTATCTGGTGCTTCCCTCTCAGCCTTCCGGAAGGTGGAGGTCCTTCGGCTCTCTCTGGGCGGGTTCTTAAAGGGAAACCCGCCTGCTCTGAGCCAGGCCAAGGGACTGGCCACTGCATTCCTAGCACCCCAATTAATGCCCATCTGGGGGCAGGCATTTGTCTGGCCTGGGATTGGGGGAGCAGGGTCTCAGGAAGCCAGGGGCCTGGGCCCAGCAACAGGTGTCAATTGGACCAGGGCCTATACATTCTGGCTCACTTCTGCCTCTCCGCCCCTTCCGGAAAGAGGGGCTCAGGAGGGAGGGCCTGGGCAGGTCGGAGGGAGAGCAAAACGGGGGTCCTTGCCCCCCTCACCTCAATTCAGAGTTCAGGCCACTCAGATGCGGGGGCTTCCATCTCCATCACCGTAACCCTGGCTGCCCTGGGTGGTCTTATTCCTGAGGAAAGTGTAGCATGGCCTTTCCAGTGTGTGAGGGTCAGGGGGGTGTAGAAACCCCTTCCCCCATTACAAGTAAGGAGGCTCGGGTCCCAGGGGAGGATGTGGAGACAGGCATGTGACAACTTTCACAGACAAGCAGGGCTGTTTCCCATGTGGCCACCCCGGAGGGCTGTGGGCCTATTGACCACAGGAAGCCTACCTCACCCCCTACAAGGGAGCTCTGCTTTGCTAAAACATCCTGGGAGGCGGCACTCACCACCACCTCCTGAACACATACCACATTCGGCTGAACACCCTGGTGGAGGCAAGGCTCAAAGGCCAGACAGAGCCAAAGGCCACTGGCAAGAGGCAGCAGCCTTGTGACCAGCCCCTACTCACCAGGGGGCTGCCAGGGCTTGTGGTAGAGACAGGTGCTGGACTCAGCATCTGGGGACCTGGTCTCTCCATTCCGCCCTGTCAACCCCATGCACCTTGGCCCAGTGTCCATCCTATGTACCTCAGCTTCCCCATCCACAGGGGTTGAGGACCCTGGCCCCTCCTCCCCATCAAGGGGTACTCTAAGGACCAAGAAGGCAACTGGAAGGCTGGGTACTCGCAGCAAGTAGTCAGCCATGAGATTATACACCAAGCCAGGACGTGGGCCAGTTAGCACTGCCTGGCTTGCCCTTCCTCCTAGTCTGGTCAGCAGGGCTCCAGCCACCTGTGTCTGCCCATGCAGGACAAGGGTCTTTGCAGCTAGTGAAATGGCCTTGTGAACACTGACGGTGGGCAGTTGGGTAGCTCACAGGATCTTGTTGGCCAAGGCTGCCCCCTGCAGGCCACCTTGGGAACAGTGCACCAGCAGAGTTGAATAGAGCAGGCAGGCAGGTCCAGTGGCTACCAGGCCCTGCACAGGCACTATGCCACCTGTCCTACATGACATCCATCTCCTGCAAAACAGGGCAGCTTTGGTGGCCACCCTCAGGGTCCTCCAACTCGATGGGCTCAGGGCAAGGAAGCCTACGGGTTGGGCAGGCCACCGGCCAGTTACCCCAGAGAGGCAGGATGACTTGTGGAAACCAACTAACCACAGCTGTGAACGAGGCATGGCCACTCCCTGACCGTGGCCTTGGCTCCACCCCCCACCTCTGGCTTCAAAACTCTAGTCTCTAAGATGAGGTGCTCAGCAGGATATGAGGGGAGTCTGCAGAGCTGGTGTGGTGGGCCTAGGGCTGCTGGCCCTCCCATCCAGGGTGTCCTCTACCCTTGTAGATGAAGCCCTGTGGTGCAGGCTCACCAAGCCGGTGCCAGCAGGCGGACTACTGAGCGCGCTCCTTGTAGCCGAGCCCCACAGCACCCCCAGCCATCCTGTGAAGAAGGAGCCAGCGGAGCCCGAGTGCCTGGCCCCCTCACACACTGACATCCAGCTCCTGCCCCAGCAAGCCGGCATGGCGTCCATCTTGGCCACAGCGGTCATCAACAGTGAGTACCATCCTCATGTGCACCCCCCACCCCTGCTGCATGACAGGGTCCCCAGGCACAGGGCTGCAGGTAGTGCTCAGTGCTCAGGAGCACAAAGATCTGTGACCGCTGGGATCTGAGCAGAGGAGGGAGTGTGTTGCAGTAGACGTGCACACAGCAATTGAAAGTGGGATCCCAGGAAGGGGGTTGGGGGAGGGGGCTCAAGGCTTCATCCAGAGCACGAGAGCAACATGGTTGGCTCAGGGATGCTGAGGGGGCAGCCCTGGGCCAGCTGCCGGGAGTCGGGGCAGCAGCATGCGCCTGGCTTGGGCAGAGAGGCAGCAGGGTCCCCAGGACTCAGGTCTTGCACTGTGAAAGGCGCAGCAAGCGCGCACTAACCTGAGCCCTTGCCCCCACCCTGCTTTGCAGCACAGCAGGTTTTTCTCTCTCTCAGCCTCTGCTGACATGTGGCTCACCCCCAGCCCTGCCCACTAAACACTGGTACTACCCCCACTTCCCAGCACACACTAAGCCTGAGAGCTCTGACAGTTAAATAGGATTCACTCTTTCTGCAAATACTCGTGTAACATCCACACTGGACCAAGCAGTGGAGGCACCAGGGCCACGAAGATGGGGTGCTGGCCCACTCTGAGAGCGGTGGCAGCAGCTGCAGATGAGGGTGCATCCATGAAGGAAAGCAATGACGTGATCACACAGTGGCAGGGCCACTTTAATTGAGGTGCTCAGGAAAGCTGCTCAGACAAGAAGACAATCGGGTTTGGACCTGCGTGTCAGGAAACAGCAGCTGAGTGGTCGGTCATCCAATGAGACCCAGGCAGTGGTCACTGTGGCTGGAACCTGGCAGTGCAGCAGGCACGCAGGGGGCTAATCTCTGAGGGTGGTTCCAGGCAAGAACCGATTTCTTCTCAGAGCAGTGAGGCCTCACGAGAGGTTTTAAGCAGCAAAGGGTGTGATCCAGTTTGGCTTTAAAATCACCCAGGCTGCCGGGCAGCAACTTCGGGGCTGCAAAATTTTAAGTCAAAGGTGATGATGGCTTGATGCAAGTGTGTGCAGCTGAGACAGAGCCAGGTGTGACGCTGGAGCCCACAGTGGGCCGGGTGAGGAGGCAGCAGCACGGAAGAGGCCAGGCGCTTTGGTGCGGCTGTCTAGGTTGGGGTTCGTCAGCACCATTGCTGGTGGGGGGAGTCAGAGAGGACAGCCCTTCGGAACATCCTGACCCAAAGACAGATGGGGCAGGGCGAGACCCCCAGGAAGAGGCAGGACCTTCAGACACTAGAGTAGGGGGGAGGGTCTGCTGAGAACGTGGTGTTTCATCCTTGGGACTCCACCACCCTTGGTCTGTTTTCTTGCCTGTGAAGTTGGGGTGATGGGAATACCAGCCTCGAGATGTTTATGCAGGTTACCTGGGCAGCACCCACCCATGGTCAGCCCTGGGTCGCGGTGGCCAGGGCTTGAATGGAACTCCAAGCCTCTGGCCCCTCTTGACACCATGGGCAGCAAGCAGCACAGTCCCCAGCACTGACCTTGCAAGTACAAACACAAACCCCCCAGTGGCCTCAGGTCCCCAACCCAGCTCAAGTCCTCAGGTGATAGAGAACAGAGCTGCCTTGGGATCCCAAATGAAAGGGAACTTGAAAAGCAGAGAAAACACAGGAGAAAGGAAACAGCCAGAAAAACTGCAGGTACAGGGTACAAGGGGTGACCACCTCAGCCAGACAGATAAAGGCACTTTTATTCATAAGAGAAATAGGAAAAGCAGGAACCCTGGCGGCCTCCTGGGTGGAGGAAGAGCACCTGTGCAATAACTAGGCACCCAGGACAAACATCAGAGAAGCCAAGCCAAGAAACACATCCTAAGCCACAGAAGTAGAAACCAGATGATAAGGAACCCCGGGGCCCTTCATGCTACCTCTACGGTGCAGAACAAGCCCTTTCCTGGCCATGTTCAGCCAAGGGGCGGCTGGCCACAGAGCAAGGGCAGAACAGTCCTTTAAATTCTGCTATAAAAACACACTGAGAACCAGAAAATGGTGAAGCATCCAACAGAGAAATCCTCACCTGCTGGCATGATCAGCCCTGCAACCCAAACTCCAAAAACAGAAATTGCTTATTTGGTGTAAATCTGGTGGATTCATTAATGTGAGTATTCAGTCAGTAACTGACATGGAACCATCCAGATATACGGGGGATGACAGGGAAACAGGAAGGATTCTTCGCTGCATCTCCTGGCCTCACCCCCTTCCCACCCCCTTCCCACTCCCACCCCAGAAGCCACCCAGAGCCATGTTCTAGTCTCGGCCTCGTGCCCAAGTGCTTGGGGATTCATGCATCTGGCCCCTATGCACCTGGTCACTTGCACACCCGTTCATGTGCACACACCTGTTTCATCCTCCACAAGTACCCAGGTCCACACCGCCCTTCACAGCCCCCTTGTCAGCACACGTACACCCGCACACGCTTACCACCTTCCTCACCTGTACATGATCACTCCCACCGCATAACTGACACAACCATGTCCTGGGCCAGTCTCACTCCTGCAGGTGTCCACTAGCATATCCACGCTCCTCCCGTGAGCACCCTTGCAAAGCCATGGCATCTCCTTATGGGGCTCACTGTTGGAAGGCAGCGCAGAGAGCACCCTGGATACTCAGAGCCCCTATCTACATGGCCCTACAGCATCCTAGAAATCCACAGAGAGGGCACCCTGGGTTGCAAAGAACAGATAAGAAAGAGCAGCAGTGATGGGAGGGGCAAGGCCAGGTCGCCAACTTCACTGCTCACAGCAGGAGGATGCAGAAGGCAGCCAGGGCACCGCCCTGATTTTGCAGAGTCCACTGCCTCACCCTGGACTGCACGCAGCCCACCTATTTCTGGAATGTCCCCTCAGGCGTCACCCACCTCTTACCCCCACAGAAGATGTCTTCCCCTGCAAGGACTGCGGCATCTGGTACCGTAGTGAGCGGAATCTGCAAGCTCACCTCCTGTATTACTGCGCCAGCCGCCAGAGTGCCAGCTCCCCTGCCACTGCCACCGCTGATGAGAAGCCCAAGGAACCGTACCCCAACGAGCGTATCTGCCCCTTCCCCCAGTGCCGAAAAAGCTGCCCCAGTGCCAGCTCCCTGGAGATCCACATGCGCAGCCACAGTGGTGAGGCTCCACGCCCCCCCAGGACCCCAGCCTGCTTGATGATAGTGCGTGCGTGCCCACTGCGCCCAGGCAACCGATGCACCTGTGTGGCCCTCCCACCATACCACACAGTCTCCCACAGCTCCCAGGGCACGAAGCCCAACTGTGGCTGCCTGGATGGTCAGCTCGGGGCTGGGCCCGGGCCGGGGTCCTGGGAGGCTTGAAGAGCCCTCTACACGTGGCCCATATCATGGCCCCTCACTGGGCCCTGTGTTCCAGGCGAGCGCCCCTTCGTGTGTCTCATCTGCCTGTCGGCCTTCACCACCAAGGCCAACTGCGAGCGGCACCTCAAGGTGCACACAGACACACTGAGCGGTAAGCAGACTGGGAAGGGATCAGGGGCAGGTCAAAGGGTGTTTGTGGATCCCACTTGCTCCAGGGCCCTGACACCACAGCCCATCTGCAGGTGTCTGCCACAGTTGTGGCTTCATCTCCACCACAAGGGACATCCTCTACAGCCACCTGGTGACCAACCACATGGTCTGCCAGCCGGGCTCCAAGGCTGAGATCTACACGCCAGGGGCTGGGCACCCCTCAGCCAAACTCCCCCCAGGTGAGTCCCAGGGGGCCCCTTAAGGATTGGGGAGGGGTCTGGTCCATGAGACAGCTGGGGGGCTAATGGGCCTTAGCCCTCCACCTCCTCTACCCAGCCCAGCTCTCCCTTCCCACCCTGCCCCTCCTCAGGTCTGGCCCAGGCAGGTCCTGCTCCAGCCCTGAAGTGTGGCCCTTGGGGTCTTCCTGCAGACAGTCTGGCCAGCTTCCAGCAGCACACGGCCCTGCATGGCCCCCTAGCCTCCTCCGACCTGGGCCTGGGGTCCACCCCATCACCAGGACTGGACAGAAAAGCCCTGGTCGAGGCCACCAATGGAGAGGCCAGAGCGGCCCCCCAGAATGGGGGCAGCGGTGAGACCCCAGCAGCACCCAGGAGCATCAAGGTGGAGGCGGCCGAGGAGCCCGAGGTGGAGCCAGGGCCCCCGGCCTCTTCATCGCGGACGCCCTCCCCGCCCAGCCCCGCGCCCGCCCGGGTCAAGGCTGAGCTGCCCAGCCCAACACCCGGCTCCAGCCCGGGCCCCGGCGCGCTGTTCTTGCCACAGTTCCCAGCCGCGCCTCCCGCCTCGGAGATTCTGGCCAAGATGTCTGAGCTGGTACACAGCCGGCTGCAGGTGGGGGTGGGCGCGGGGGCACCGGCCGGCCTACTCGCGGGAGCCCCTAAGGGCGCTACATGCTTCGAGTGCGACATCACCTTCAACAACGTCAGCAACTTCTACGTGCACAAGCGCCTATACTGCTCCGGCCGCCGCGCGCCAGAGGATGCACCCCCTACCCGCAGGCCCAAGGCGCCCCCAACCCCTGCGCGCGCGCCCCCTGTCCCGCCACCTGCCGAATCCGACGCGCCAAGCTCTTCGCCCGGCCCCGGCGCGCGCGAGGACCAGGCGGGGGACGGGACCACGCCCGAGGCCGAGACGGGCGGCCGGGGCAGTGAGGGCAGCCTGAGCCCGGGTAGCGGGGCGGACGAGGAAGACGACCCCCGCCGGACACTGTGCGAGGCGTGCAATATCCGCTTCAGCCGCCACGAGACCTACACGGTGCACAAGCGCTACTACTGCGCCTCGCGCCACGACCCACCGCCGCGCCGGCCGGCTCCCGCTGCACCCCCGGGAACCCCTGGGATCCCCAGCATCCCCGTGCCGGCACCTCCACCTATGCGCACGCGCAGGCGCCGCAAGCTCTACGAGCTGCAAGCGGTCAGCCCCGCCCCCGTAGCGTCCGGCCCCGCCCCACCGGCTCAGGCTCCTGCCCCAGAGCCACCAGCTTCTCCCTCGCCGCGTCCCGGAAGCGGAAATGGGCCGGACGAATCCGATGGCCCTATCGATCTGAGCAAAAAGCCGCGGCGTCAGACCTCTGCCGCTCCTTTATCCAGCCCCACGCCTGTGTTACCGGCTCTCGCTGACTATCACGAATGCACGGCCTGCCGCGTGAGCTTCCACAGCCTCGAGGCCTACCTAGCGCACAAGAAGTTCTCATGCCCAGCCGCACCGCGCCTCCCGCGCGCCCCTGAAGATCCCGCCGTCGTGTGCCCCTACTGCCCCCCTAACGGCCTGGTTCGTGGGGACCTCGTCGAGCACTTGCGCCTGGCTCATGGCCTGCTGTTGGGCAAGCCCCTGGCCGGCCCCGGCGCGGAGGCCCGGACACCTTCGCCCGCTGCCCCCCGCGATGGCCTTAACGGCCAGGAGCCATCCACTGGCCCTCCTGACAGCAGTCCCCGGCCTGGCCCGCCCCCGGCCCCACCAACGCCTCCTTCCCACTCGGACAAGGGCGTCCAGACCCCCACAAAGGGGACACCAGCCCCCCTGCCCAATGGCAACCACAGGTATTGCCGCCTGTGCAACATCAAGTTCAGCAGCCTGTCCACTTTCATCGCCCACAAGAAGTATTACTGTTCTTCGCACGCTGCCGAGCACGTGAAGTGACCGGAGGCCACACTACAGATGGGAGACCGCTTCACACGCCCCGCTGCTCTCCAGGAGTCAGGGACTATGGGTCTGCTGCTCATAGAGACAATCACCGCCAGGCGCCTGGCTGTTGGTGACTCTGGCTCCTGGGAAACGCACCAAGCACAGGCCTCAGCAGAGGGGGCTGCAGATGGCAGCGCCCACCTGGACCCTTGGCACTTAATAAAGAAGTTCAGTTTGATGAGTAGAGTGGTGGAGCAGCCTAGTTCTCTGAGCAGAGGGCCCTGCAGGGTGGGAGCACATACTGGCCAGCATCGTGGGTGATCTGTGCACCAAGCACTTAGAAGCACACCACTGTCACCTCCAGCATACAAACAGGCCACTGCAGCCTGGAGTGACCAGGTCCCTGGCAGAGTCATGCAATTAGTGGCCCTAAGAGCTGGACCAATCCCCAGGTCAGTCTGATGCCGCCACACACTAGGAACTGCTGCCCTGCCAGCTCCTCTGTACCCAGTTGAGGCACGTGGGGAACAGTCAGGCACTGCCCTTAGTGCCCATGGGGGGAGGTGCCATGGTGGCTTGGCTAGAGTCTCTAGAGCAGCACCACGCAACTTGCTAAGGGTCCTGCAACTGGGTCCCTGGTCCCCCCACTGCTCCCCACCTCCCAAGGTAGTGCTGAGCACCCTCCTGCACCCCACCACAGTCCCGAGCCCATCTTGACCCCGTCCTTCCTCAGATCCCGAGTGTCCAACGCCCTACAGATTCCATCAGTGGGTTCTGCCTCTTGAAGCCCCCCACTCTAAAACTCTGCCCCCTATACCAGAACCTGCCACCCCCACTGCAGCCACTGTCCCAGCCACAGCCCAGGGACAGCACCCAGGCCTCCTTCCCACTCGTTTCAGGACACCTGATGCTTCTGCCTCTCAACCACCCCCTCACCCCCTAGTCTGCCACTTCTCTAAATGAGGAGAGTTCACATCTCACAGAGCCGCAACCCCCACCCCAGCCTCCCACTTGCACATGGATTCCCATGCCCCTAGGTCTCTCTCTAGCCTAGCCATGCCCCTTGTGAGCACCAGATGTGTCTGTCCACTGTCCTGGAAGTCACCCTGATGTCCCTCAAGGGCCCTGAATGTCCAAGACTGCGCCCCACAACCTGCATCTCCTCCCTGCCTCTGTGCAGGAGTTGCCATCCGCTCTGACAGAGCACCACACCTCACTGTCAAAGCAACTCTTGATTTCACCGGACCTGCCTCTCCCACCACCATCCAGCTTCCAGCTCTGCAACTTCACCTGTATTCTCTCTCAATGGCCACTTTCAAACCCATCAGCCAGTCTGCTTGGCCCTACCTCTCCAGTCTAGTGCTGCTTCGCCTGTGCCCCCAGCCACACCCGATCCAATGGACTGGCCATCACCCCTGGCCACCACTGCTCTCCTCCCAGCTTCCGTCAGGCCCTACTCAAGCCGTCAGGTGTTCCTGTCATGCAGAGGCAGCCTCCAGGCCCTCTTCGCCGCACCACGCCCTGTTCACCCGGCTCCTCTTGGTACTCCTCACAGTCTGCCCCCCAGGAGGACTGCCTTTCTTGTCACACGGCTGTCAGTTTAAGGATCCTCCCTGCCCTGCCTTCCTTAGCACCCTGCTTATTCCCCCCCGCCCCGTAGCAGTGGCACTCTAGAAATCTGGTTTTATTTTGCCACCCCCTTGTCCCTCCCTAAGGGCATCATCTGCCTTGACTACTGCCTGCTGGAGAACCTGGTCTGTGGCCTCACACCAGGGAGGGGCATGCAGTCATTGAAGTCACAAAGGAGTAAAAGGGCCAGCAGACAAACGAGCGAGCCCCCTCCCCCGCACCCCGATGGTCAGTCTACAGCCCATCCCCAAAGCTAGCCCCTCCTATCCGTCTCTGGGCTTCCTCCTCAATCCCATCCTTCCACTATACCAATCGCACCTCCCTGGAGGCAGCTCTGACCAGGGACTTCATGTAACAGCTCCTTGCACACGTGGTTCGTGTTCGAGGCCACCATTCGACCCCATCTCCTCCTAACCGGGCCATCCACCCCGAGTCCTCTAGGGGTACTAAATGGTCAGCCCACTCCCACGTCATTGCCATCCACACCCCTGCACACCCACACAGCCCTAGGGACAGCCGAGCTCTGGGAATGGCTGCAGGTAGACACTCCTGGCACCAGGGGTCAGCAGCAACTCATTTATGTAGGTCAGCAGGCCAGGTGCTGGGAGCTTGCTTCCCTATCATGCTCCAGGCTCACCAAGCCTGTGGGCCCTTTGTCTCATTGGAGACAGAAGGAAAGGGGTAGGAGGGGGCAAGGAGGGATGGGAGGTGGCCCATCACAGCTGAGAATGAGCCTCAAGAGGACACAGAGATCGACGTTGCAGGGTTTGGAAGAGTCCATCTCCACAGAAAGGGAAGGAGCAGCAAAGACAGCCAGTCAGTGAGGAAGGGGCCTAGACTGGGGCCGGCCTTGGGTGAAGGGAACGCAGAGAAGGCAGAGGGTTCCCCTGGCAGAGCCCCAGCAGGTGCCAGGCTGTGATCAAACTGCTTCCACAGTGCCCGAGGTACGGCTTGTCCTCCTGTTGCTGCTCTTCTTTCTTTCTTTCTTTCTTTTTTTAAATTTATTGATTTTAGAGAGTGAGAGAGAGAGAGAAACATTAATTTGTTGTTCCACTCACTTATGCATTCATTGGTTTATTCTTGTATGTGTGCTCTTACTAGGGATCAAACCCACAACCTTGGTGTGTCAGGAATATGTTCTAACCAACTGAGCTACCCAACCAGGGCCCTGCTGTCACTGTCCTTATGGAACAAGTAGCAGGCTCAGAGGGGATGCAATTTGCCACACACACACACCCCCCAACCGTGAGGCTGCTGGGAACACTGAAGCAAACTGCACACATGGCCCCAGACTGCCCTGGCACACGGCCATCTGCACGTCAGCTGCCTCCTGGCTGCTACCAGGGTCCCCTCTGCACCAGGCCCCACCTGGCTCACAGACCTGCCCCCACTGGGGCTCTCGCTGGCGGCAGCTTAGAACAGCAGGGCTTGCCTGCTCAGCCTTCCTGCCTGGCCAAGTCCGGCCTCCCTCCCGTCATCTGACAGTTGCCTCACTGCTGGGGACAACGTAGGAGAGAGGTTCCCTGGGATGCAGCTGGTCCCAGTTCCCAGGAGCCTTCCTCCCATCAGCATTTCCTGAGCCAGGGGGGAACCCACATGCCAGGGCCTCCCAGAGGGGCTGGAGCAGGTCATGGCCTGAGAATCTGCATTTAATCAGCTCCAAACATATTCCTCTCTAACAACTTAGAGAAATACCCACATAACAGGAGCCTAGACTGTTAGCATTCTTCTTAAGAGCCCAGCAGGTGCAGACACAGCCCTGCTGAGGGAACCCTTGTTGGCTGGGGCAGGGACGAGCAGGAAGGGGGCTGGATCCACACCTCAGTCCCTCGCAATGTCAGGGGGAGATGATGAGACCACCGCTTCCCCTGCACAGAGTATGTGGTTGACCACCCCAATGTCCTGGACACTCGCCCTGATACCTTTCTGTTCTTCACCCGTGACACAGATGAGACTTGGAGCCCTGGCCCTGTTAAGCCTGGACTACACCAGTGCCCAGAATAGCCAGGCGTGACGGTTCCAGCTGCAAACGTGGAAGGACACCCTGTGCAGAGTGCTGCCGCCCTTCCCATCCCAGATTACAAACTGGAAAAGAAACAAGCAGAGTCCTCCCAGCCACAGAGCACTGCTCATGAGAGCCGGTTTGAGGGGCCACAAATTTGATCCCTCCCATTAGTGCCCCCCGGGGGAGTTCTCCCAGCAGTTTTAGACTATGGGTGCGTTGTGGTCTGGGCCAAGTGCTGGCTCGGCACTGAGGGGAAAATGCAAGTGCACCAAGGTACAGATATAACTGTAGGTTCAAACCAAGGAGCAGGGATGTAAAAAGCTTTAAGGGATGGTCTGATTGGCAGAATAATGGCCCTGAAGCTGTGCACATCCTAAGCACCTATGAATATGTTTCCTTACACAGCACAGAACGTGTGAATACATTTCCTTATATGGAACAGGGGAATTGAGGTTGCCAACCAGATGACCTTGCGACAGAGAGACTCCAGAGGGACAAGCACATGCAAAGCCCAGCAGGGCCCGGGCAGGCTGTCTGGTCAGGCAGGGGGTTGGGCCTCCCAGAGGCCCAGGCTCAGGGGATGTGAGAAGAAGCCAGTCACACTTCCAACCGTCCGTGGCGGTGCGTGTACCTGAACCTGAAAGCCAGACTCAGTCCGCGCCCCACGGGCTCCTTGAGGGAGAGCAAGTTAGAAGAAAGAAGATGTCTCAAGTCCCGAGGTGGACAGAGCTTGGTCCTACGGCCCCCTGGGGAGAATGCCTAGCTCACCCCCCACCCCCTGACCTTTGAGGCCCAAGGAAATGAGGTGTAACCAGAGCTGCACCCAACCCTCATCCAACTCAGGTCCTGGTAAGATCAAAGGGAGCCAACTTGCAGAGGCTGGGCAGATGGACGGGGGTGGGGGGCTAAGAGAGGCAGAGAAGCTCCCCGAGGTGCTCTGTGCTTGAACCCAGAGCCCAGCGGGAGGCCTAAAGCTGCAGCCGCCCCCCAAAACAACGCCACATCCACGGGGCCTCGCCAACCAGCTGGACATTCCAGCGGCCCAACAGAGGACAGGGTGGAAAAGAAAAGGACACATACCACCCCCTCATGTGCTTTTATACCAGCAGTTCTCAGAGTGTTTTCCAAGGAACCATAGGGAACCCCAAGACACTTTCAGAGGGTCTACAAGACCCTATTTTGATCCACATTTGCATGAATGACACAAAAACCAAGGTGGGTATGACAAGGGAACCTTAGCACAAATAAGGCACCAGGCTGTGGCAGTGAGCCCTCTCCACTCACGCTTTGATTAAGAATGTCCTTGATGAAGCTGTACAGAGCATTAATTGCATGTAACCCCCACCGTCGAGCAGTCTCTTGGACACCCCGTGAGGAACTGGGAAGTGCGCGCCGGCTGCCTTGTGGAACAGCCCTGGGGAGTTGAGTTGCCGTCTGAACTCCCTGGTTTTTTTTCAGGGAACATCTTTTCCTGATTTGGAAAGTGAATAAAAAGACTGGCCATTTACACTTGGATATTGGGCAGA